TTATTTCTTTTACTCTCTAACCCATACAATCTCCTTTTCTTCCTTGTTTTCCTTATGGACCCTAAAAGAAAAGCAATAGAAGACACCCTCAAGAAGAAGTTTCTTGCATTGAGGAAGGCTTCTTTACTTGAGCAACCACCAGCAAAGAAACCCATAGCAAGTGAGTTGCAATCTCAAAGAGAAGAGGCCGTCCACACATCCCCTGTTCCAAGTGAGCTGCAATCGCTAAGAGAGGAACCTATGCACACAACCTCTAGTTCAAGTCCATCGTTTCCTGAAGGTTTCTCATCTTTAGTGTCCCCCTGCGCCTCTGATAGCCCTCCAATCGCGTCTTTGAGAACTCAAAAAGGAGCCTTTGGAAAAAGCTACTCCTTCAAAGTCTTTAACTCCAGCAGAGAAAGCCAAGAAGAAGGGTAAATCTATTATGTCAGCCTCCTCACCTGATAAAATTTCTTCCCTTATTTCTCTTGAGGTCGAAAGTCAATTTAGAGACCACATTATCAAGAGGACAATTGTGTGTGAGGTCAATGTTAAACTTGATGATTTCCCTAAGTTTTCTAAGATGTTTGAAAAACAAAAATGAATTAAGTCTGTAACTGATTTGGAAGTACCCATTCAAACTCTCGTTCAAGAGTTTAGATCTAGGGTTGCTAATATACACAAATATTAGAGTTGCCTTAGAGAACACCCATATCATTTAAGTGTTACCCTTTCCCTTTCTCATACATAGAATTATAGCTCCGTACAATCCAAAATTCCATGAAGTGGAGACATCTTTGAAAGTTAAAACAGTAGATAAGAACTCATTCAGACAACCCTCCAAGAGTGTTCCATCCTCATCCATTATTGAACATGTGAGAGCTAACACTTGGCAATCCAAGTTGTTCAATTCTATGCAGGATTTGGAGTTGTCCATGGAAAATATGCTTCAATACGTGAAAGAGATGCACTCGTCTTTCAATGCTCGCCTTGACAATCTTAAGAAAGAAGTGAAGAAATCGAAGAATGACTCTGGTGCATCCTCTCTAATTCCTAAAGATCGTCCAATCAGTTCTGAAAAAGGAGTAGAAGATCCTAATCCTAAAGATGAAGTTGTTGCCTCTCCTGCCCCTGTTGATGACCTTATTGTCCTAGTTGTGTCTACTATCAAAGTTCAAGCTGAAGACTCTCACGTCGCTGCCTCTACTACCTCTCAAAAGACTGATTGATTAATTGAGACAGGTTTACATTGATCTTGTGATCGATTTGGTTCTTTGTTCATAAGTTTGACAAATGGGGAGAATATAGAATATTTTTGTCAAACTTATGCTGTATGTGTGCACAACAATTGTGTGTGTGCACAGGGCTACCAAACTTACATTTGGCTTGTTCGTGTCAAGTGTATCCACAACAATTATGTGCTCATTGATAAGAGCTTGAAAATATATATTTTGTTAGTGATTTAATTGGATTATTTGTGGAAAAATGTGTTTTTATTATGAAATTTGAGTTAATTACTTCATAAATACCTTTTACAGGACCACGAGTGTATTTTGAGTATTTTCAGGTTATAAACAATATTTTAATAAAGAAGAATGATGTTGATGGAATTTGTGAAAGTAGGAACAAACGGTGCGAGAATCAGAGTTGAAACGAGAAAGTTGTGACACATTGAAGATGAAACGTAAAACCTGGAAATTTGTCAAGATGAGCATGTTTCGATGTTTTTATCATAACTTGAGCTGTAGAAATCGGAATTTGATGATTCTTGTGGCGTTGGAAAGCTTATTCAGAGAGATACAAAGTTCATGTTGACTTTGCTAGATTCTGAATATTATAGACTTGTGGGAAAGAAGGAACTATCGCTGTGGTGATGGATTGCGAGCTTGTTTGGGTTATTGTATTTTCTTAGTCCGAATCTGAATGGTTTAAGGCATTTAATTTTTTTCTAATAAACCTCCAAAACCTAGAACTATAAATAAGGGTCTTTAATTAGTTTTTAGGGAGAGGAGAGAAGGAGAAAGAGCGACTACTATTTTGGAGATCGGAATTCTTGCAGTTTTAGTTTGCTAATTAGAGAAGTTTTTATATTTTTCTTTCTTGAACTCATGTTTGTTAATACAATGGTTGTTCTTATTACTGCAATTATGAACTAAATTCCTTTTCTAGGGCTAAAGATGTAGCCCAATTTATGAATATGTGTTGATTTTATTGTTGTAAATTTTAATTGAGCATTAATTCTAAATTTTATTATTGTGTGTAATGCTTTCAACTCTCAAGGGCCCGAGAGTTGAATGATTTTATGGGTTGGGTTAAGATCGAGAGATGAAACCTAATTATCTAAGGCAATAAAACTATAGATTGAGTGAACGCTAGAAATATGTTACCGCGATCTGTGAGGCTTTGGTAAATTCCATAGAACTTAATGATCTCTTAACTTCTAAATCCACTTTAAATATATTTTGGGCTATTGTTTAAGGGTTAATTCGCTAATTGTTTGAGAGAAAGTTAGTGAAATACTAGGGAGTTTAGCCTTTAGAATAAGCTTAATTAAGTTAGCAATAATTATAAATGCATAAGATTAAATTGGTGTGAAATCTATGCCCTAGGTTTAGTCTTATTGATCTTTTTACCAAAGTATTAATACAATTCTGCTTTTGTTTGCTTCTTAGTTTGTTTTATTTTTCATTAATTCATTCTTAAAATTTTGTTTCATCAAATAACAATAAAATAGACTAGTTTGGTACTTGGTAGGTAGTTCTCTTGGGATTCGACACTCGTTTACTCTAGCTTTACTACTTGCGCGATTTCGTACACTTGTGAATAGCCTGTCATTTGTGCATTCGCATTAGACTTCTCAACCTGGCACAAGTTGCGTTTTTTGTCTAAAGCAACAAAGGTATTTATTCCTATCTTATGATTTGTCTTAAGGACTACATATAGGTGTCACAATATCCTTTTGTGGTCCAAGGAAAAAACCATGCTTTTCCTCGATTTGGTCGTGGTCTAAAATTAAAGTTGGAATCTTTTCCTCATTTGGACAAACATGAGTCAGCCCTTGTTTGCTGACATGGCACAAATTTTTGAGCAAGAAAACTCCTTTATATTATCTTTATTTTTGCATATTTGTGACTAATCTTTGATATTTTTTATTTGTTTATGCTCTGAATTTTTCAGAGAGTTTTGTTCCTTGAAGGTTCACCATATTTTATTGTGCCAAACTTTCAACATCTCATATACTTGTTGAATTGGGGCCGGAACTTGGTTCCATTATTGATGCTGAAGCGTGGCTTTGGCGTGTGAAGCTTGGGTGGAGCTCAAGTGTTCTTCGGGTATGTTCCCGACATGAAGAGGTCCTTGGAGCAACAAGACAGATTCAGAGGGTGGTGTTTAGTGTAACTAGAACAAGGAGTTTCCTTTGCTGTAGCTAAAATCAACTTTGAATTATATTTTGTAATGTTTGTTGTTTAGTGGATTTGCTTCGATTTGGACTAGGTCCTATGAATGTAGGCTAAGAGTGGTTTTAGCCAAACCATGTATATGCTGGTGTATTTTACATTTATTGTTTATGGATGTTAATTCATGCTTAACTTGATAACCATTAATCAACTTTGTAAAAACTTCCGTTGCAATTTAAAAATGGGTACCTAAACATTAATTAGAGTTCACCAACTCTAACATTTTGCATTTCCCAGCAACTTGAGTTCTTCAACAAGCAAGGAACTCAAGATTTTTATTACAAAATTCACTGCACCCTTTGCCATATCTTGCCTTTTTGTTGTTGCTCACTGCATTGATATCAAAAGCTTTTAAAATTTCTGCTTCATTGCTTCTTCTTTTTTTTTTTTTTTTTTTTTTTTTCTCCTTTTGTTATTTCAATTCATAACATATCTATTAATGGGGGAGCACAATATGATTTATTAAATTTATTTACATTTTTTCTACCACTATATATATATTTTTTCCATATCATCAAGATTTGCTTAATTCAATTCTAACAAAGCATATCTCCCTATGTCCTAGACTAAGTATAGAATTAAAAATCGAATCCAACCTAAATTAATTTCTAGCTAATCTATTTCCACATTGCATTTAGTAACTAACTTGATGTCAGTTCTGCAACAAATTAATCATAATCATAAACTATCTTATTGAAAACTACAATGATTTTGTTCACTTTGTTATATATAATTTGTCACTTATTTGTTCACCTAGAAAAAGTCGGATTAAAAAATATATACATAATTAATTTTATGTAAAAGCAGGTTCGTAGAAAAAACCAACTAAATCCATTGAAACAGGGTAAAACATGGGAGATGTTTTTTATAGGCAAACAACAATGATGACAATAGCAATAGCAACAACAACCACATTTCAAAGTAGATATTACATAGAAAGTTTAAAAAAACTCCCTGCCCTACAACATGGAAATTACAACAAGAAAACGTTGACAATAGATATTGCATGTTGATAACAAGCAATACTATGCCATTATTGATGACATTACACACATGAATTACAAGCAATACATAACCTTTATTACAAGAAAAAGCCATAGTTACCCTGGATGATCATTGGAAAAGATAGATTTATCAGCATCATACTTCATCTGTTCATGACAATAGAAGATTTACATCTGTCAGCTAAATTAATTCATAGGATAAGTAAAAAACAAATGTAAAAAAAGAAAAAGAAAATTCATAATTTCCATAGGTACTTATAGTTCATCTAATAGTTGAATGAAAAATTGATGGAAAAATTAAAAATTGAGAAGGGAGACTTGTGTTAACAAACAAAACAACCATTACAATAACATCAGGAAATCAAATGTGTTTTACAAAATTTTAAAAAAAAAATCACATTTTAGAAGTAAATTACAAAATTATACTTTGTATTAAGTGAAAAGTCAAAACACACCCTAAGTCATTAACTCATTGCCATGAAAAATTATAAGATTTGTCCTTTTCTAGTTGGACAGAAGATATAAAATCAAGATACAATTTAAATGGAATACCTGTTGTTCACGAATAAGAGGACTCATTACTTCGCTCCACTTTTTCAATCAATTGCTCAAAATCCACAAGCAAGATAGATGAGAGATGCTTAATAGTGTGATAAGATAGTTTTCCTTCCATTTCGAAAGTGACAAGGAAATCGGGTATATGTTGAGTAACTTTCTTCCACTTCTCATCTTTTATCATATAATAAATTTCTTTCAACATAAGAATAAACAAAAGAATCCTTAGGTTTCGTAGGTGCTCAAGTCCAATTGGAATCTCTTTCAATCGAGGGCATGGTCCAATACGTAAGCTTTCAAGGTTACACATTGCACCTTGCTCTATAATGATCAACTCCACTTCTTTAAAGTCAAAGAGGAACAAAATTTTTAGTTTTGGAAACCAACCTTCTTTGAAATGTAATTGCTCATCATGGCATGTGTTGTGTAGCCTAAGCTCTAATAAATTAGGTAGGGCTTGAAGGACTCTTATGGGATCATCATTTAATCCTGACAAATCCAAACCAATTCTGACAAGATATTCAAGTTTAAAAATCCAATCTGGCAACTTCTTCATATTTCCTTTTAGGTAGAGGCGTTGAAGACCATGAAGAGGAGAAACCATGGATTCTATGTCAAGAACTTCGTCTCTGCTTGTCGACTGTACAACCAGAGATTCAAGTTTTTCCATATTTGCAATGCAAGCACAAAGATCATTTCCATTTCCATTTTTCAGCCAAACTCCTAACTTTCTCAAATGCGTTAGCTTCCTAAGCTCTTCAGAGTTAGCTTCCACAAAAAATAGTTTTCGAAGATCCATTAAAGACCCTAATCCCCTGGGTATTTTCACTGCTCTTCCATAAGTACCATGCTCGCCCAAACTATATGCCGCTAGATAGCGCAATTTTTTCAGATACTTGATTTCAATTGGGAGCATACTCACATGAGATTGCTTCAAATTCAATGTCTCCAAGTTAAGAAGCTTACCAATGGACTTGGGAAGTACATTTACTTTTGTATTTTTCACACTTAAGTAGTGCAAATGGAAGAGGTTTCCCACTCCTTCAGGAAGATACTCTATAGGACTATCTTCAAAATCAAGTACTTTTATAAGTTTGAAATCCACAAGTGCAGTTATGAAAGAGTTAGGCATCCTATCAACATTGAAAAGAGAAACAGAACGTATCTTTGAATCCTTGATGCTCTCAAGAACACTATCAGTGCTTCCTTGTATTGAAATACGCCGAATTTTGTTGGGGAGATTTGGGTGTTCTCTGTTCACAAAATGAGAGAACCCCAAATATTCTGTCTTTCTAAGGATAATCTCATGCATCAGATCATGGACTCGACAATATCTAGGTCTTCCCATGAAATCCGTCTCTACCACTTGAACCAAGCTTCTGTTAATGAGATCAATCAAGAATTCTTCAGCAACTTGTTCAGATGTGAGGCGTTTGGAATAAGGGACAAAGCCCTCAGCAATCCATAAGCGAATCAACCTTGCACAATTGATTGAGTAGCTTTCTGGAAAAAAACCAAAATACAAGAGACAAGATTTGAGATGGTGAGGTAGACCATAATAACCTTCTAATAAAACTTTGTTGCAATCTTTTAGATGAGAATCACTTCTAAACCGTGAGCCCAAGTCATCAAGTAACTTTTTCCATTCAAAAGTAGCTTTGTTCTTGTTTGAGAGAAGACCACCTACGGCAACAATTGCTAGTGGTAAGCCTCCACATTTTCGAAGGATGTCACGAGACAGTTTCTCCAACTCGGGGGGACAACACCCTTGAGGACCAAAAGCCTTTCTACGAAAAAGTTCAAACGCCTTATCAGAAGGCAAGGGTTGTATCCTACAGACATTAACAAAAGGAATCAGATCAGCAATGCCCTTATTTCTAGTTGTGAGCATAATTCTACTGCTTTTGTTGTTCTCAGTTAAAGCATACTCTATATATCCCCAAAAATCAGCTTTCCACACGTCATCAAACACAACCATGTAACACTTGTCTTTCAATTGTCTCTCAAGTGTGGCAAGCAAATCATTCTCTTCCATTTTATCCATCTCTCCATAAATAGACCCTGTCACACCCTCAAATTCTTGTACAACTTTCCTTAGAATATCCATTTTGGTGCTTTCTTTCCCAACCGTGATCCAAGCCTGGCAATCGAAATGCTTCTTGACTGTATCATTCTTATAAATGTTTCCAGCAAGAGTTGTCTTGCCAAGTCCTCCTTCGCCCACAATTGCAACCACTGAACGGTTAGATGTTCCATTTACCAACAAACCAATCAATTGGTCCATAGTAGACTCGATTCCCACAACTTCAGCACCTTGGATGAAAAAGGAACCAACTCGAGAGTCATGCGGTACAACATCTCCTTGATCTATGTGCCTCAAGTTATAGTGTTCTGCTCTTCTTTGTATATCAGCAAGTGATGATTTGATATCTTTAATCTTTGATGAAATTCCATGGGACAGTATCAGTTCATTTATGAAGCAACACATTTTACAAAGCAAACGCATCAGATCGCTATCGAAATCATGCGGATGTTTTGCCTTATTTAACATGTACTCATCGAGGACGTCTTCAATGTGATAAGCTTCTTCCCTTACTTGTTTTACCCAAGTACTTACGACACCTCCATTGCTTTCTCCTTCTTCTTCAATTGCTGCCCTTGCATCTGCATCCCTGAGGAAAGATTTGATGATCTCCAATTCTCTTTTGATGCTTTCAACTTCTTTCTTTACACTTCTCAACAACTTGGTTTCTTGGACAAGCAAGGAACCCAAGGTTTCTATAGCAAAGTTCACTGGAAACTCTGCCATATCTCTTATCTCACCTTTTTCTCTTGTTAGTCACTGCATTAACATCAAAAGTTTCTGCTTTTTCTATTAATGGGAAAAGCACAATATGATTTATTAAATTTATTTAAATTTTTATGTCAATATATGAATTTTTGTTTTTCATATCATCAGGGTTCACTTAGTACAATTATAACAAAGCATATGTCCTTATGTCCTAAACTATATGTCCCTATGTCCTAAACTAAAAACTGAATTAAAAATCTAGTCCAACCTAAATGAGTTTCTAGCTAATCTCTTTCTACAATACTTATAATAGAATGCATTCAGTAACTGACTTGCAGTCAGTTTTGCAACAAATACATCGTAAAATATCTTATTCAAAACTACAATGATTTTGTTGTGAAATTCATATTTGTTGTAGTGATAAATAAGCATATCAGTTTAACAATAAATTGAGTTTAAATATCTGCTTCATAAATTATAACTGCCAAAGAAGCTAAATTTGATTGATTACCTGTTACTGGATGATATTTGAATAAGATTTAAGAAATAGCACTTGCTTCTTCTTTGTTTATAGAACGCTTTCAATTGAGGGAAAAAAAAACAAAAGGAAAGGAAAGTTAAAGCTTAATTACATTTGTTAGAATAAAAGAAAAGATAACAAAAAATAAAAATTTTGTAGAAACAGCAAAATTTTTCTTTATTAATCTTTTGGAGATTTGAAGCAAGGTATCTATGCTTTATCTAATTTCCAACCAAACAGTTGGAAGGGAAAATAATATTTCTTTATTCATCTTTTGGTGATTTGAAGTCTATGCTTTATTTAATTTCCAACCAAACACTATCTTAATTTTGAGTTCGTTTTGTGCCTTGTCAGATGCTCACTCTTTCATTTGAATTACTCTGGAGAACACGATGTGAGTTTTGTCTTGCTCAAAATGCATGATTCCTCAGGGAATATATACAAATAAAAAGCTCTCTATGCGGATAAAGTAAAACATAAGTGCTACAAAAACCCAAGAGAAAGAAAAGAATTCAATATCTCTTGATTCTTGAACAATGTAGTGGATATAAATTAACAAACACAACTACAACATCATAAACAAGAAATAGCCAGTGGATTCCTGATTGATGAATACAAAAAATGACTCATCAGTTTATTTTCATGACTGTAGATACTTCATCTGTTCATGGTAGTCATTTCAAGAATAAAGTGTTATCAGTTAAATTTTAATAAATGAAACGTTTATAATTATCCAAGAATTCTCTGCAGTGTTCAGATGGGTGGCGTTTAGAATATGGAACAAAGCCCTCAACTATCCATTGGCGAATTGGTGTCCAATAACTAATAAAGTGGCTTGCTGGAAACAAAACAAAATACAAGAAACATGACTTGAGATGGTCAAGTAGATCATAAATCAGAAACATGAGTATCTATTACTGGATGATATTTGAATGTGATCTAAGAAATAGTACCTAGTTCTTCTCTGTCTATAGAAGCCTTTGAATTCCATTAAAAAAAAAAGAAGGTAAAGCTTAATTACATTATCAGAAAAAAAAAATCTGGACAATGTAACAATGTAAACTGTCTATCTGGATTACCAGATTTCATAACCTTTTTCATGTTCACTCCATTTTAAATCATAAGATATTCTTTGTATACAATGTTTGATTGTTGTGTTAAGAAGCCAGCCGGTTGGACAGAAGTGTGAACACAATTTTTTAGATGCTTTGTATAATTATTAATTAATTATGTCTCTCCACATAATGAATAATTAATAAAGTTTAAGAAGATGATGTATTTAATTAATTTGCCTATCTATGGTTTTAAACATATATTACTGTGAAAAATTTGTAGTAGTTAAACCCTCCACCCTCCGTAAGGCTAAAGAGACAGAATCCACATGTATGGCTTCATAAAAAAATAGACTATTAGATGAGGTCAAGTAAACATTTAAACCTTGACCCAAGGGTCTATGTTAATTTGATGTTTGTGTAGTCAACATTTGACCATTATAAGGATTCATTCAAATTTTTAGCGGAAAAGCTGGACGGGCGCTATAATTCATTTTGTTTAGAAACAGGGACACTGTTTTTGACTGATGTAAATGCAAGGGAGCCATCCAATAAATTTTTAAAATCGGAACAAATGAAAACACTATTTGGCTCAAACCAGCCATCCCAATCAATGAACTGAATGAAGTAAGCTTTTTGAGCATACCTTGTAGAGGCGTCTCGTCACTGGTTTCACCGCATGTCTGGCTCATCATTTGGCCCCAAGCTGTGTTCATTCCAACTGAGGTAACAATCATTCGAGCATAACCATCAGACACCTCAACATGATTGCTCTCCCCAGTCATACTTGATTCGTCCACTTGTAAATAATGCCTATCGAGAAACAGTCCCATCAGCTGGAACTTGGTCTCCAATCCTCAAGCAAATAACATCTCCAACAACAATTTCAACGATTGATATTTTTTGGTGGTGACGATTTCTAACGACTTCGGTTTGGATATTGCTGCTGCATTCTGATAACTTTGCAAACTGGATATTTTGCCCGTAGTTACTTACAGCAGAGACTCAAACCAACCTTGTTTCAGGCCATGTTCTTTTATGCCAAAAGGAAAAGAAAGTAATGCACAGCCTAAAACTATCAATGTGGTAAAATCTTTGAATCCTTCCGCGACAAAATGGAAGAAGCTATTCGATGGTGGTTTTGTATATGAGTTTGTACCAAATGCCTCACGTCTGCGCCCAATATCATCGTCACCGTTACTGATTCCTCCATCAGTGTTTGTTCCAATAGCAGAAGCTACACCTTGAGTCCCAACTAACATTTGAAGCAGGCCGACATTTTTCTCCTTCACTAGTTTGTCAGGCGTTCTCGACCAAGCTGGAAGAATCCATTTTTTTCAGGATGAGCCTTTTTGGCTAGAGGGAAAAGGTTTCCGGAATCAGGTAAAGCTGGAACGTCTTCATGGGACTCACAGGTCGAAACAGACATGTATTAGTTGCAAAAACAGGAAATGATTTGAAGTGAACAAGAATGGCAATTAAAGCTTCCATATTCTCATGTATATATAGTAAACCTTTATTAATAAAATGATACAATGGTGAAGTTGCTAGGAATATTAAGTACTCGCAAAAATAATTTAGGTGGCATTAATTTTTCAAAGACTCTTTGATCTTTTTGACTTGTCTTTATTAGAAGAGAGATGGCAGAAAGATAATTTTTTTTTTTTTTGGGGGGGGCGGGGGACTTCACAAACCCTTAACAGAAGTATAATCCCGTTAGTTTACTTAACTAAACGGTGCCTTTTTTTATACAGTAACAGTATTGAGTCTATTGACTTTGAAAAACATACTTTGAAGACTGAATACAGGGGTTTTAGTCCCTGAAATCACAGAGATCATCTATCTGGGTTTGTGAATCAATGGTTACATGGCAGTCATTTTGTGTTTCTTTTGTCAGGTTCACAAGGATTACTATCCCGGCATGTATATAAACAATTTGTAGCAACACTTTCAGTTAATGAAAAACCAGTTAACAAATTAGTCTCTATTTTTCAGTCTTCATTTTTGTTTTCAGACATAATGGTGTGTGGGTGTGCGTCATTGAACTTGTTTCAGCTTCCTGATAGTTATTTTATATTTAATCGAAGGAAGAATTATCTACATCTCCAACTATAGTATATACTAAACTTTGGCCTCTGTGAGCCAGACAATAACGGTCAACAACGTTTCTGGTAATACCAAATAGCTCTCTCTCTTCTCGTTTAAACATTTTATTGTGTTTCAGCAGTTCCTATGCTATGGCTATCTAGCTTTGTCTTAATGAATTGAGATATAACTCATAGTTTCTATTAATAAATTATCTCAAATGGTTAATAACGGTTAAACTAATTGCAGCACCAACGAAACTTGATGATGATGAGGCAACTGGAGAATTTCATGGTTCCAATTTTTTTTTTTTTTTTTTATGAAGCTGCCTTCTTTCGAGGCCAATGTTGAATCCTGGAAAGTTAACGTGCTTATACAATGTTTGATTGTTGTATTTTCTCTCTTTTGTGATCGCACTCATTACCAGCGTCTACCCACGAAAACTTTATCCTTTATTTTCTCAAGGTCTGTCAATAAAGAGAATCTGGCTGTCCCCTCTCAGGAAAAGGAGGCCTAAGTTTTCTTTCTTCCCAGAAAAAAAGTGATGCTTAGGAATAATTGTCTCTATCCTCGAATTTCGCAAAAACAAAATGATTGTTTCTTACCTTGTCTAACTATTCCTTGTCAAAGTTGTATTATATAACCTTTTGAAAAGAATACCTTACAGAAAATTTTAGAAGACGTTGTTCTTAATTAATTTGGCTAAGGTTATGTATGGTTTTAAACATATATTACTCTGAAAAAGTTGTAGTATTTAAACCCTTCACCCTCCGTAAGGCCAAGGGTGGAGATGGGTCCTATATATCAAATCAACAAAGCTACTTCTGAACGAAATAGAGACAGCAACGAAAACAAAATAATAGTAAGACAAATCACAGGCAGTAAACAAACAGAAATAACATATGCAATTTACTCTAGTTCATCTAATATGGGTTACGTCCAACTGAGTCAATATTATTGTAATATGACTCACCTCTCTCGTTTACAATGAATGAATTGTCCTATGATTGTTATCACACTTATAACAAGAGAAAAATATGTTTATATGCTAGGTTTAAAGTGACAAAACCTAATTTTACAAGGGTTCCTATTTCTAAGCCCAACCCAATAAAGAATTAATAACTTAAAGAAACCCTTCAGCGATTATACATGGAAAAGACTCAAACCGCTTACGGGCCCGAGGGCGTTGCCCCTATGACCCCTGCCCACTCACCGGGGAGCGAGGTCCTCATCCACTCATTGAGTAGCAGGACCTCTAAATGCATCTGCGTAACCCATTAATGTTGAAATAGTCGCAACTCCAACAACTTCATGAATATCATTCTAAAGAGACAGAGTCCATATGTATGGCTTCATAAAACAATATTTACACTATTAGATCGAGGTCAAGTCAACATTTGACCATGATCCAAGGGTCTGTGTTAATTTGATGTTTGTGTAGTCAACATTCGACCATTATAAGGGGTTCATGTTAAACTTTTGGAGGAGAAGGAAGACGGGCACAGGGACACTATAATTCATTTTCTTTAGAAAACAGAGAAAAAGAAATATATACATAATTTTTGGTAGGCTTGGTTCAGACCTCCAGTCTCCAGATGATGAAATATGTTAGCTAATTCATTTATTCAATATGGTTTCAGCTTCCTGATAGTTAATTTATATTTAATCCAAAGGAAGAATTATCTACATCTCCAACTATAATATATACTAAACTTTGGCCTCTGTGAGCCAGACAATAACAGCCAACAACGTTTCTGGTAATAACAAATAGCTCTCTATCTTCTCGTTTATACAATGTTTCTTCTTTGTTTATACAATGTTTGATTGTTGTGTTAAGAAATCAGTGGGTTGGAGAGAAGTGTGAACACAAATATTTTATCTTTTTGTGATCGCACTCATTACCAGCGTCTACATACGAAAACTTTATCCTTCATTTTCAACAGGCTAATCTCTTTTGTCAAGGTTTGTCAATAAAGAGAATCTGGTTGTCCCCTTGAGGAAAAAGAGGGCTCAATTTTCTTTCTTCTCGGAAGAAAAAAGAGTGATGCTTGGGAATAATTGTCTCTATCCTCGATTCGCAAAACAAAATGATTGTTTCTTACGTAGTCTAACTATTCCTTGTCAAAGTTGTATTAAATAACCTTTTTGAAAAGAAAACCTTACAGAAAGTTTTCCACTCACCCATATCTTTTGTGAAAATCGTTAATTAATAATTAATAAACTTTTAGAAGATGTTGCTATTAATTAATTTGCCTAAGCTTATGTTTGGTTTTAAACCCTTCACCCTCCGTAAGGCAAGGGGGGAGATAAGTCCCATAAAAACATATCTAGACAATTAGATCGAGGTCAAGTCGATATTTGACCATGATCCAAGGGTCTATGTTAATTTGATGTTTGTTTAGTTAACATTTGACCATTATAAGGGCTTATGTCAAATTTAATTAGGCTCTTCAGTTTCAGTTTATGTCTGTCGAACTCCCATGGAATTATAGAACTATTCACGATAGTTTAAATAGCTACAAAACAATTTTATGTACATGCATTGTCATAGAAAAAACCAACTGAATCCAGGGTAAAACAGAGAACTTGTTTTTGATTGGCAGAAGGTATTCAAAGAAAGGCTTATACTTTCTTCAAGCTTCAATGCTGTAGCCACCAATAAGCTTCCACGGAAAGTGCAAAACTATACCAAGAGAAAGAGAAGGGTTTAATATCTCTTGAACGACATAGCGGAATTGGATATAAGTTACCAAACAAAATAGCTATTACAATAACATTTGCAAACAAAAAATCTCAGTAGAAGATACCAGTGAGAACTTGGTAAGTTATAATAATGTTGAAGAAAACTTGCCATATCAAATTTATTTGATTATTACACTAGGAAGTTGATGAACAACTGCAATTAATACTGCATCTCTACTGGCATTACCCAGATAATTGAAAAAAAACACATCGACACAACCACAACCAAATCAAATAGTACGTTACACATTTTCTCCAATGAAGAGTATTGCCAACAATACTACACCATTCATAAGAAAGATTTCTTCATCATGTTCCCACTATCAAAGATATGGTGTTTGTTCATGATAATAGGTGAAACACAAGACAGTTTGTTAGTTATGGATTTCGATTTTCTAAATGTTTCTGGAAAACTTTTAAGGAAGAACTTTAAAGATCATCAACAGTTTATCACCAAAGGGATTCTCCTATTAATAATTAACGGTAACCATCTATCTATGGTGATTAAGAAATCAAACAAAGTCCACGACCTAACTATCTTGCATTTACCGTCTTAAACAAGAAGATGGTAATTAAAAATTAGACTGATTAATTAAAACAAGTTGAATATATATTGACACCAAATGGTAGTGGCAAGTTTTGCTCTTTTGAAACATAATTCATTACACGAGCCATATAAAACTACAACTAGACTCCCTCAACATGTTTCTTCTCAATACTAATAACAGCCAGTGAAATCATTACATCATTGAGCCCACAATAACTTTTTGAAAAGAAAACCTTACAATAATGAATATATTGATAACTTTTTATATTGATAAATGTAAGTATTTTTAAGGGTAATTAATTCCACGGAAACAGGGCAAAACAGGGGACCAGTTTTTTAATTGGTGAAGGTGTGTTCTCAATGCAACTCTGAACTTACTGGCACAGTCGATTTCTTAACAGTCTGAAATGTGTGCAAATGAAGAGATGGAAATTGGTGTTTGAGTTGTCTTAAGATTTAGGTGAATTTGTGATAAGAGTTTGGGAGAAGAAGAAAGAGACTCAGAAAACGAAAAGTTTGAAAGGTTTCTTCCTTTTTCTCTCAACACTTCACTATGGTTAATAAAATGGAAAATGGACATCCAAGAGTCAAGTGTTCTTTATGAAAGATAAAGAAAAAGTAAAAGGGCATAAAGCAGAGAGTCCAAGTAACCATCTGCAACATTAGTGTTAAAGTCTGGGCTCCACCATTGCAATAATTCAACTTCATAGTGGTTGCTTTTTTAAAGTAAAAGTTTTGGTTGCTTTTTTAATGTCTTGTTTTTTTATTCCTAGTGGTGCATCGTGTGTTTTGTTTGTTTTTTTTAAAATTAAAATGGCCAGGTATGCTGTTAGGCTCTCCAGCTTTAGTTTATGTCTGTCAAACTCCCATAGAACTATTCACAGTAGAAAAAACCAACTAAATCCAGGGAAACAGGGTAAAACAGGGGACTTGTTTTTGGTTGGCAAAAGGTGTTCCAAAAAAGGCTTATGCTTTCTTCAAGTTTCAATGGAAGTAGCCAACAATAAGCTTCCACGGAAAGTGCAAAACTATACCAAGAGAAAGAGGAGTTTAATATCTCTTGAAGGACATGGTGGAATTGTATATAAGTTACCAAACATAATAACTATTACAATAACATAAGCAAACAAAAAATCTCAACAGATGATACCAGTGAGAACTTGGTAAATTATAATAAAGTTGAAGAAAACTTGCCAAATCAAATGTATTAGAGTATTACACAAGAAAGTTGACGAACAACTGCAATTAATACTACATCTCTACTGGCATTACCCAGATAATGGAAAAAATAACCACAACCAATTCAAATAAAAACGTTACACATTTTCTCCGATGACAAATATCGCTAGCAATACTACACAAGGAAAGATCTTATGCTCTCCAATTCACTTTTGATGCTTTCAACTTCTTTCTTTGCACTTCCCAACAACAACTTGTTTTCTTGGACAAGCAAAGAACCCAAGGTTTCTATAGCAAAGTTCACTGTAAATTCTGCCATATCTGATAACCTTTTTCTTGATCACTCCATGATTAAGATGTTTGCTCATGGATACATTGTTGTGTGTACATCGAAAATTTGTTTCAGGAAACCAGTGGTTATTGTGCAGATACAAATATAGGTAATTTTGTTTTAGGTGCTTTTGTTAACCAATATAATTATTTTTATTTTTATTAATAATGACTTAATATATTTGATTTTTTTTTTTTCTTTAAACTCTTATGAATATAACATGGGTTGATTCAGCAACTTGACAAATGATTAATAAATAATTAATTCCGGCTAGACCAACTCTTATCTTTTTCCTCCTTTAACTTGAGTTAGAATGAATATTAGTTAATTAAATCATTAATTCACAAACTTCCTATATATTTATGAATAATTCCTGAACTTCAATAATTTATGCTTTTTTTTCTTTTTGGATGTTTTAACACTGTTGTTGATGGGGTTGAACTTGGCTGAATTTGCCTACAAAATAAAGCACTCAGAACGCTTGTAAAACGACAAACCATACAGTCCATGCTCATTGACTCAAGTAAGATTCTGGCCTGGGTTTTCAGTTTACCACAGTTTTTTACAAGTTTTGGGGGTAAACTCTATTTCACTCCCAACAGGATTCTCTAGAATTGATTCAGACCTCCAAATGATCAGAGCATAGATATGGGAAATATCTTAGCTAATTCATTTATTCCCTGATATATGGAGAAGAATTTCCAATCTGAAATTCAGACTAAACGTTCTCGGATTGAAGTTTTGGTTTCTGTGCATGCAAATTGCTAATCTCCCAATGAATCCATGATAACTTCAGTGATACTTCATATCATTACATTTACTACAAGGGATAATCTTCTATAATGTCATTTCGGTTAGACCCTTTATTGCAGAAGATGCTCAGAATGAAATATGAGGATGGGAGAAATTTGTGAGGACTCTGTTAAAAGGGAATAGAGGAAAAGAGGGGACTCTATTTTATTGGCGAAGCTTTCCACAAATCTTTACAATTAATTGACGTTTTAATTGAAAGGGTAAAGCAGTTAATACTTTCTTTAACTTTCCTCGACAAATTCCCTTCGAGTTGAGGAGGGCCTTTCCTTTTCAACTGAAAGTCCATTGAACCAAGGATAAGCATGTGTCTCTGTTGAAACGCCAAACTTGTACCATATTAAGCTCTTACAACGATTAAAAAAAAGAAAGAAGTAGCAAAAATATTTTCATTACAATCTTCTATGTTGAAATTCTTCATAAAACTTTGGGAACAATTTTGCATTTCATAGAAATTTTCTACGCTGAAATTGTTTTGCAACTCAACGGTGAAACTGGAAACAACATTTGGAATATAAGCACTTCAATGATAAATTTCTGAATAGCAATAATTTCAAAATTTATTAAGTCCCACATGAAAAGAGAAGGTCAAGTGAAAAAGTTGAATGCAATAAATAACAATTACCAGTATGTCTGAAGCTAATTGCTTCAACTTCAGAGTAATCTCCAATGACGACTCCCCAGTAGAAGACTCAAAACTAAATCGATCAGCATGTCTTACCTTGAGCCTCAGTGATGAGCTTTCATACAACTTAACTTCTGTGTGCCAAATCCCACTAACACGGTACCGAACCCTCGAGTTTGACTTCCCTAGGGGCCATCTCAAACCACCCTTCACTCCTGGATCCAAAACAGCTGAATTAATCAGATTTCTAAGGCTCTGCATTTCTTCATCCTGGAAGAACGCTTATAATCAGTTTGATCATAGATGTCATCCTCAGGGATAACTGAAACAGCCATAAACAAAAATATTGGATAGATACATGTCATTTGTTGTGGGAGTCTCAAAAAGTAGACTCCCACAAAAATGGAAAAAAAAAAAAAAAAATCAAATAAGGAACCTCATTGTACAAAGCAAAAGCATTAAAAAATTTTAAGCCTACAAGTTGGCAATCAAAACTTTGATTCTAATGATTTTGTTTTTTACTTCAACCATTTGTTAACTTTCATGATGTCTGGAGAGAAAACTCTCATATATTGTAATCCTCTGCGAAAAGGTATTATATGTATGACTGTATGTTTAACTCTTTGGGCTTTGTCCCATATTTCTTCTTTCTTCATCCCTTAGAAAATAGACTTTGGCCAGATAAAATCAAGTTATAGAACGAAGATTCCCTTCTACTGCTTTAAAGTTGTTTTTTTACTTTGTTTGAAATGAATAAATATTCTGATTAGTAACGACAAAGATAAAATTAACATGCTTAAAAGAAAAACAGAAAATAGAAACAAAGTTATGCTAAATTATTCTACCTAAAGCATCTAATGCGTAGGGTTTAACAATTAACTTACAGTTAAGTCAGTGACAACACTCTTGGTCCATAGCATCAGCCTCAGGTCTAAATTCTTATCCACGCATGATATGTCTATGGCCATTTGATGAGCATGGTTTAGTTCAATCTACACGAAAAATATCTCTGATTGAGCTTGAGGCTCTACATACAAAATAACGATAAATTTAAAGTGAATATAAAATATTTTTGGCAATTCAAAATATAAATAAACAAATGATCCACTGAGGTACTTAACATTTCTTGATGTCCCTGATATATTATCCAGATCCAAATCCCATGAAGCAAAAGGCACTCTTGAAGAAGGGCAAATTCAAGTTGGTTCACAATCAGCAAGGTTTTTGCAATTTAGCACTCAGGATCACACCTGTAATGGTATATATACTTTGGTTTATATCAGGGCTTCTTACTCCTGTATAAGCAAGTCCTTTACAAACAATTCAAGAGAGTTGAAAACTATTTCTTTTTTCTTCTTCTTTTAATGGTTAATTCCATTTAAATGTTTTTAGGAAGACTTCAAAAACGTCTTAATCATATTCCAAAAATTTCTATCCTTATCCTGTTTCATCTTTTCTTGTTTATATTATAGCAGTTCCATCACTTTTTACATCAAAATTCATCTCACAAACTCAGTTCAATCCATTTTCTTTTTATTCAAAAACATAGGTATAGGTTCCTCCGACAGCTTCGTTTACCTCTACAGTTCCTGGTAGAATTAACTTTAGCAAAAGCCTTGTTTCATTGACCTTTCTAAAGCAACCAACTCTGAATGTTTAAGAATCATGATTATCAAATTGAAGCATCGACCTCCATCATCCTATTTGCACAACACTGATTTATTTTTATAATAGGTTAAAATAATGGCAACATTCATGCAAAATCTGATATATTATCCACATATATAAGCATGTAAGTACCAAAAAACTTGGCTTACAGAGCTCAAACGTTTTATCTTCCTTTACTCTACATTTGCATAAAATTTTCTTTCATCGTGCACTGCCAATCACCTAGACAATGAAATTTAAGTCAATAGCTATATTATCTGAAGTACAAGTAACATGACAGTAATGGACAGGTGTTTAGAAGAACAATTACCCAGATATAGTATACATCCTTATCTGCTTCAAAATCAACTCCTATTTTTGGCACAACTTCACTTATAATGCTTTCCATATAAGACATAGGAACATTTGTATAAAATGTTCTTCTCAATTGTTTCAAAGTGGTATTACAAACTAATTGAGCTGCATACATGACTAGAAGGGGAGACACATTCGGTACATAGAGTATCATCATTATATGGTTAGAAATAGGGCAGCCGGCAGATTGATTGTTTTCCCAATTAAATATGTTATGTGACTGGTCAGTCAAGAAAAAGTCAGGCAGGGGAAATGATAAACGAGTTACTAGCACCAGCAATCAAGCAATTCTCAGGTAAGGCAAGGCATCAACAGCAGTGCTAGATATGTGCTTTTGCAAAGTGTTTCTGTCTTCACAAAGGGCAGTGGAAGTCAAACAAAGGGTTTGAGTGAACTAATAAATTATAACAAAAAAAGTGGTCACTTCCAAGGCCAAGAGGTAGCATGCATGATAAATCATTGTTTTAATTTTCTTTACTTTGGCTTCTCAAGAAATATTACCCAGAGTTTCTGATTCAGAGATTTAATTCACTCCTATCCCTTCCATGGGAATTGGTAGGGGCAACCTCATAATTTCCCCCTATTTCAACTTTAATTCTTAATTGACCATAAGATTCTTTTGACAGACTCAGCCATTTTGGCTTATGTAACATTCCTAAAGAAAGAGAAATCAAGGACGCATTATATAACATTCAAGCCCATAAAGCAAATCAATTCTTTACCCACGAAAAAGAATTTTGCCAAATCTAGCGACCAATATTGGCTTTACTTTCTCCAGCTCTTTGTACTCCATTTTGTTCCTCAGATTGTTAAAAGAAGTCAATAAATCTGACCATGCATTTTTAGCTACATATTCCCAAGGTCGTCTTGATATATTCCCTCCCACTTCATCATTACCTACAAACAAGAGAGAAAACGATCAACACTACTACTTTAAACACTAGAATGAAATTCAGACATAAAAGTATAATACATTAAGATTATACTAAACAGGGCATAACACCACCGTTATCTGCATGATTGTTCACTAAAACTAGGGACTTTTCTCCTATAGTCTGCTCAATGGGTTCTGAAATCGGCACCAGGCGGACAAATGAAGGAAATTGGTAAGTGTCATCCAAATCAACAACGAACCATCTATATACGCATTGGTCTGCATAGATAATAAGCAGCTCTGCAGTTGGAGATGGACGGTTCGAATCCTTTGAGCGTCACTTGTGTGGTGGAATGTAAGCCATAAAGATATAGCAACAATCTTAAACCCTGCTAGAATCAATCATCAACAACGGAACTTCGCCGAATAAAACAACTCTCCCAATTAACACCCAATTCTTGCAAAAATCAACAAAATAATAGAAAAACCCAAAACCTCTGAAAATAATAATGAGAATTTAAAACAACAACAAAAAAAAAAAAAAAAAAAAAAAAAACGCAAGAAATGTTTCTCTTACTTTTACCATCTAACGATTGCATATCCAACCAATAAAAACAATGGCTTGCCATTTCCTAAATCTTGCCTCATGCATTGTTACCATCTTTATGTAGATTCAGTTGAATCTATAATCACAAAAGAAGGTGATTATTATGAGAAGAAAGAAAGAAAATCTAAAGTTTTCACACATCAGTCGTCAAAACATATGCCCCAATAAATTAAACAAGAACTGAAAACCATTGTAACCTAAAATTTTGACTTCAAACGAGATACAAAGCTCTTAGTCTATCTTGAATTGGAATTTAACTGCGGTTTAAGTTAAAATTTCCAGTCAACTTTATTAACAGTAGAGATTGCACCAAAACAAAAGAATATTTACTTTTTCTCACTTTCTTGAGTTTACTTATGAACCAAGCATAAAAGCAGTCAAGTCCAAGAAAAGCACATATACGAAATGCAGGAAAGGGAAGAAAAGATGAAATACCAGCGAGTTCAAAGGTAAATGATCTTGAACAGGCACGCCAAGAGAAAGAAGAAACGCAGCTATGTGCTCTTTCATCAAGAAGATATAAAAGTGGGGTTCGGTAAAGTAAATGGAGAAATTGACAAGACTACTTGTGCTAACAATGGATTGGATGGAAGTGAAAGTGAATTGAATGGAACAAAGTAGAAAGCGAGTGGTTTCCACCACTGAGAAAGAAAGTGCCACTCGCCGGTCACCGGTCCAGGGCGAGAAAGGTTGGGAAAAACCCGGGTACAAACTGGTCGAACCGGGTCCGAAAAGTCCAAAGTTAATGCGAGGTTTTACGTTTGGGCCTCAATCAGTATCAATTGGGCTAGCACTTCACACTCTAAAAGAGTGGGCCTGGGCCTGCTTAAAATAGGATATTTACTTTTAAATGTGGTTGTTGATTGTCCTCTCCAATGCTTAAGTCAATCTAACAGTCGAACTTACGATTGAGTAAATGTGCATTTGCTTTAGAAAAATGAGAAAGAATATTTCTCCCTTTTAGATGAAAAGATCTCTAAGTTCCTAGGGGTTTTTTAATGTCTTCAATGACAAATTTTCATTGAATTCAATCGTAAGCTTTCATGTGACAGGACACGTGTTTTAGATCGAGGATGGTTGTGATTTTATTTTTCCTAAATTTGACATACCAACTCTTGTCTTTAGTGGCCAATGTAGACACACCTTCTGTTTTTGGTGGATCTTAGCAGCAAGTTGGCCCTAGATGAGATAACTTAGAATTTAGTGCTAACACTCAAAGAAAGCGTCATATGTCCTATAAGGGGCGTTTGGTTGGCGGTAATGTCAGATTATTGGGGTAATGTCATCTTATATTAATTGATTACCACGTTTAGTTGTCAAATAATATAAGAGTCCGGTAATCTTCAAATACCAATAATAATTACAATTGGTAATATTATAGGTAATCTGATTACCTCCATTTTCTTAGGTATTCTGAGATTACCAAGGTTATCTTTTTTCGTCACAATTTTATCCCTTATTAATAAAAATTTTGGACGATAATACCCCTACTTTAAAACAAATTTACATTAATATCCTATTTCAATTTTACCCTTGTTTAATTAAAATTTTGGACAATAATGCTCTTATATTTAAAATAATTTACAGACCACCACTGCCACCCAGCCACCACCACTACTGCCACCCAACCACCACCGCCGACAGTGGGCCAACCACCCTGGACAGCCGCCGAAAAATCGCCGAAGTCCCTAAAAAAGAACGAAATTCGGTGGGAGGCTTCGATATGGCCGTTTCCAGCCATATTGATGGTCGAAAATGGCCAGATCGATGGAACTAGCCGTTAACGACCAGATCCCTGGCCATTAACGGCCAGGTCTGGGCGAGATCTGGCTATTAACGGCCACGAACATGGCCATTAATGACCAGATCTATTCTAACCATTAACAGCCAGGTCCGTGGCCGTTAACAGCCAGATCTGGCCTAATATGGCCGTTTTTGGCCATCAATATTGGAGCCTCTTCGTCACGGTGAGGTACTCACGAGGACTTTCGGAGACATCTGGCGGTGGTTTGCGGTGGCGGTAGGAGGTGGGGGTGATTTCGTCATAAATTAAAGTTTAATATAAGTGGGGGTGTTTTAGCTAAATCTGAAATATTGGGGGTTAAAAAAATTATTCAAAAATTAATAATAAAAATAATATTATATTAATATTTAAAAGGGGGGACAATTTAGTAATTTAAATAATATACCCACCAATTTATTCTCCATAACCAAACATATTAATATAACATACCCACCAATTAACCGAACACATTTTTCTAAAGATTCCCAATAATCTTCCAAGGTAATATATATTTACAGTAATCCAACATTCCCAGTAATCTAACATTTTTGAACCAAACGCCCCCATAAAGGATTTCGTGAAATTATCCCTGAACAACTGTTAAAAGACTATTTCTCACATGGAGATATATGCAAACACTATAAGTTGAAAAGAGAAATAAGATTTAGTCATGTTTTCTTGCAAGGAATTAATTGATTATTAGTAATTCACATTCAATTAAGAACACCAAGAAAGAAAAATAATGATTAATTAACAACTAATCGTATGTAGATGGGAGAAATTTGTGAGGACTTTGTTAAAACGGAACAGAGGAAAACAGAGGACTCTGTTTATGATTGGCGAAGCTTTCCACGATGGTTTACATAAAAGCCTTTTTATAATGTCGACCATTAAAAATTGCAGAGCTTGGAGAACTAGCTATAGTCGGGAAGAAATATGATCATTACCATATACCCTCGCCTCAGATTATTGTCTTGGAGGGCGAAACTTTAGCTTAGAAACAATATTTTTAGCAGGTTCATAGAATAAAACTCACCAAATAAATGGAAACATGGCACATCAGGAGAGCTATTTACTATTGGCAGAGGTGACATACTTTCTTCAACTTCAAATGGAAGTAGCCAGCAATCAACTTCCAATGAAAGAAAAAAATCCTAAGGAAATTAGGCTAAAGTGCACTAGGATATCATCTTTTGGCCAGTAGATAAAGTTCAACCAAACAGGCTTTTAGTCTGTCATACAATGAGCTTATGTGCACCAGGATATCATCTAAGAAGGTGAAATTTAGCCTTAAATACAATATTTCAAAGTAGATATTACACAGAAAGTCTACGAAAACTCCCCACCCTACAACATGGAAATTACAAGAAGAAAACATTGACAGTAGATAATGCATACTAATAACAAGCAATACTACACCATTATTGATGACACTACACACATGAATTACAGGCAATAGAGAACCTTTATTACAAGAAATAGCCATAGTCATCCTGGGTGATCACAGGAAAAGATGGATTCATCGGCATCATTCTTCATCTATTCATGAAAATAGAAGATATACATCAGTCAGCTAAATTAATTCATAGGATAAGTAAACAACAAATGTAAAAAAGGAAGAAAAAAAACTGATAATTTTGTTTCCTACGGCAACGGGTGATTTCCGATAACCGAAGACTTTTTAGATGTGTCACGGTAACAAAATTGATATTAAAATGCTCATCTCTAAACGATCTATTTGTCTATATAACTTTAAACTGGAAAAATGATTGCGTTTGGCCAAGATCCGACCGAGTCTTTTGTGAGTGATCTCAACTGGGAGCTCACTCACAAAAGTCCACTTCAAATCAAGAGTCTCTAAGTTGAGAAGCATGCCTATGGACTTGGGAAGTTCTTTAACTTTTGTATTTTTCAAACTTAATTAGCGCAAATGGAAGAGCTTTCCCACTCCATCAGGAAGACAATCCAAAAGGGCATTTTCAAAATCAAGTATCTTTAAGAGCTTGAAATCAGCAACAATTGTAGTCATAAAAGACTCGGGTAATTTGTTTACATTGAAAAGACAAATGGAATGAATCTTTGAATTTTTTATACTCTCTAAAACACCATTAGTGCATTTGTCTATTGAAATACGTCGAGTTTTACTAAAATGACTCAGGTTTTTTTCATCAAAGAACCGACAAAAATCACATTCCTTCATCTTTCTACGAATGGTCTCGTACATCAAATCATGAACTCTACAACTTTTAGCTCGTCCAAAAGCTTTTCTCTTTGAAACTTGAACCAAACTTCTGTCAATAAGTTCTTTCAAGTATTCTTTAGCAACAAGCTCAGATGTCAGGTGGTTGTTGCATTGGACAAAGCCTTCAGCTATCCAGAGGCGAATTAATCTCCCAGATCTAATTTCGCACCCTTCTGGAAACACACCAAAGTATAGGAGACATGACTTTAGATGGTGAGAGAGATCATAATAACCTTTAGACAAAATTTTGTTGCAATCCTTAAGATACAAATCACTGCTTAATTTTGAGCCCAAAGCATCAAGCATATTTCTCCATTCAGAAGCAATCTTGTTTTTTTTGGAGAGAAGCCCACCTATCGCAACAATTGCTAGGGGTAGACCTCCGCATTTTCCAATGATATGTTTTGATAATTCTTTCAAGTTTGGAGGACCAGAGTCGTCAGAGCCAAATGCCTTTCTACAAAAAAGTTTCCATCCCTCCTCTGAAGACAAGGGTTCAAGCTTGTGAATATGAGCTATTGAGAATGGTACGAATTCAGCAACTGTATTATTCCGTGTCGTTAGCATTACTCTACTGTTTTTTTTTTTTTTGTTATCAAGTAAAGCATGCTCTACATCTCTCCAAAATTCAATTTTCCACACGTCATCAAACACAATCATGTAACACTTGTCCTTTAAGTGTTCCCACAACTTCATGATAACATCATTCTCTTCCATTTCGTCTGCCTCCATTAGAATGGACCTTGTTGAACGATAAAGTTCTCGTAAAATTTTCCTTAGTAAATCTTTCTTCAAGTATTCTTTCCCAACTGTGAGCCAAGCTTGGCAATGAAAATGCTTTTTCACCGCATCGTTGTTATAAATTTTCCCGACAAGAATAGTTTTACCTAGTCCTCCTTCGCCCACCATCGCAATCACTGAGCGAATATTGGATATTCCTTTCACTAATAAATCAATCAATTTTTCTTTAGCAAAATCAATACCCACAACTTCAACGTCTTCAATGAAAATGGAATCAACTCTAGAGTCATGACGTATAACATTTCCCCCTCCATTGCCTGACCCCTGATCTATGTACTTGAAGTTGTAGATACCTCCTCTTCGTTGAATTTCGGCAAGTGATCGTTTGATATCATTAATCTCAGTGGCAATTCCATGTCGCAATTTTATGATCTTTATGAAGTAGCACGCAGTACTTCACCACTATGACAAGAACCAGCCATTGCATTTTTTATTGATGAATTCGGAAGATGACTCATCAGTTTATTCTCACGACTGTAGATACTTCATCTGTTCATGATAGTCATTTCAAAAATACAGTGCTATCAGTTTAATTTTAAGAAATGAAACGTTTATATTATTCATAGGATAAATAAGAAAAGGAAAGCTTTACAAGACAGAAGTTTTGTCAAGCCAGTAGATAAATTTCAGTTATATCAATGCAGTATCATAAATTTATATTACACAAGGAAGTTGATAAACACCTACAAGCAATGCTGCAGCTGGAATAGCATTACCTGAAAAATAACACATTGACACAACGAAAACCAAATCAAATATATATTTACACATTGGTTCCAATGATCCTAGCTTCTACTAATTAGATTGTCCAAGAATTCTCTGCAATGTGTTCAAATGGGTGGCGTTTAGAGTCTGGAACAAAGCCCTCAACCATCCATTTGCAAATTAGTGTCCAATAACTAGTAAAGTGGCTTGCTGGAAACAAAACAAAATACAAGAAACATGACTTGAGATGGTGAGATTGATCATAATAACTTTCAAATGAAACCGTGTTGTGCACTTCTGACTTTGAGTCCACACTATTCATGAAAATTTTCTCTCCTAGGCAACCTTGTTCTTGTTTGAGAGAAGACCACCTACTGCAACAATGGCTACCGGTAATCCTCCACATTTTGAAAGGATGTAATGGGACAACTTATAAGTTGTATATTGGTCGTATTATGCTCAAATATATTGTCAATTATACAATGATTTGTCAAAAGAAGGGATATTGTTTAAACACCTCGAGGTTTACCAAAATCACATAAACCCCCAGTAATATGGGTATTGAATATGAACCCCTGCCGTTAGACTTTTCATTAATTTTTACTGTAAAAGTAAATGACTTTAATAACCTCACCATCCATGCCCAGCAACCCCAGCCCCAACCCTCAACGGCAATCACCAGCTCATTTACTCTCTTACTCTTAACTCTGTTAAAATTAATGAGAAGTCATTAATGGCAGGGGCTTCAAGACAAATACCCATATGACAGGGGGTTTAAAGTACTGTAACCATCCAAAGAATTATGTTCTTGTGGGCTGCAGCAAGCTATACTTAGGCTGTTTATATTGGGCTCATGTGTTAGTTTCTGTACTGAATTTTTGGGCTTTGAACAAGGCTTTCTTCCTCCACTATTAGCTAACATTCTGGAATTATGTTTTTTATAAATATTTTCTTCGTATTTAATTGATAAGCCCTTGATAACTTCATTTATGGTCTCAGTAAGTAAAATTTTCTCTTTATATAAGCTATTTAACACTAACAATATTCATAACTCCAGCAATAAGCACTTCAGGATTTTTGCAGGAGCATATGTACATAATTAAGCAACTTCTACAATTTCAAAAGCCAAAAAGCTAATTCAAACTAACATCTGTAATCTGCCAAACTTTAGATCCACCTGCATTTCCTTTTGCAACTCTCAAAAACAACACATCGGTCCCACTGCCCCTCAATCAAAAGATTCTTTTTTCATATCACTTTCTGTATTCCAGTACATATTTATTTAAACAAACCACCTCCTTACTCTCCACCTTCTTTCTCATTACTTAACTCACAAGTTGTTTTCTCCAAAGCACTTTAGTCCCAATATGAATTCCCTCCCACATCCACCTGCACCTCCTCTACCCCTTTCACCACCATCACCAGTTACGCCACCTCCACCTCCACCTCCTCCACCCCTTTCAACACCACCACCACTAACAGCCCCACCCGGAAAGCAGGCCATTCAAGCTCCTCTTGAACAAATTGGCATCTCAAAGCCATCTATAAGAAAACAACATAGTCCAACATTAGCTGCACAAAATCCTGACATCATGAGATCAACCAAGGCACCAATACTCCATCACCCTTGCTGATGACAAGCAATACACAACCTTTATTACAAGAAAAAAGCTATATTCTTCTTGGGTGATCACTGGAAAAGATGGATTCATCAGCATCATACTTCATCTGTTCATGACAATAGAAGATTTACATCCCTCAGCTAAATTAATTCATAGAATAAGTAAAAAACAAATGTACAAAAAGAAACAAAAAAACTGATAATTTCGTTTTCGGAAGCAGCAGGTGGTTTCCGGTGACCGGAGACTTTTTCTGCGTGTTACGGTAACAAAATTGATATTAAAATGATGGCCTCTAAATTATCTATCTGTCTATATAACTTTAAATTACAATTCAGATAATTGATGATTAATTACAATTACTACCAGATTAGAATATGCTGATCCAACTATTAAATTATTTTTAGAAAAAAGTTTATTTTGTTTACTGATAAAAAAACTGCAATATTTAATAGCAGAGAAGTAAATTTAAGAGAAACACACTAGTCAAAAGACTTCCTTGTTTTAGCAGACTGACCTGTTGATGATATGAGTGATGGGGCTACTCGTTACTCGGCCTCAATTTCTTCAATAGCTTCTCAAAATCTTCTGCTGAAAGAGATGACAAATATTTACTAGTGTAACTAAAGTATCCTCCTCTAATTGTATGTTTATAGCTGACACGTACTTGTGGAATGTGTTTATCAACATTCTTCCAGCTCTCATTTTTTATCATGCAATAAACCTCCTTCAACATCATTTCAAATACAAGTTTCTTTAGGTTATTGAGATGCTCAATTCCAGTTGGAATCTCCTTCATCAATGGGCATGGTCCAATCGACAAGTATGTAAGACTAGGCATTGCACCTTTCTCTATCATCATGCATTTCAATCCTTTGAAGTCCCAGAGATATAAGGATTGAAGCTTTGGAAACCAGCCTTCTTTGAAATGCAATTGCTCATCACACTCACGCACAAAGAGCATAAGCACCAACAAATTAGGCAGAGCTTGTAGGATTGTCATGGAATCATTGGTTGATCGATTCAAATACAATTCTAATCTGGTTAGGTTTTGAAGTTTAGAAATCCAAACTGGTAGAATTTCAATGAACATCCCTCCCAAAGTAAATTGCTGAAGACATAAAGGAGGAGAAGCCAAGGATTGTATATCAACAGGCTCTTCTGCACTTGTAAACGCTGATATAGTCAAACCTTCAAGCTTTTTCATATTCTGGACAATAGCAAAAAAATCCTTCACATCTCTATTTGCAACGTCAATGCCCAACTTTCTGATTTGCCTCAGTTTCTTAAGCTCTTCAAGTACTTCACTGTTTGTATATACGTACTTTAGCTGCTGCAACTCTGTTAAAGCCCCAAAACCTTCTTGTATTTTTGTCATTTCTCCGTAAGGACCTTTGCTGTCCAAGCGTCGTACAATTAGACAATGCAATTTTTTCAAATTCTTGATCTCAACCGGGAGCTCACTCACAAAAGTCCACTTCAAATCAAGAGTCTCTAAGTTGAGAAGCATGCCTATGGACTTGGGAAGTTCTTTAACTTTTGTGTTTTTCAAACTTAAGTAGTGCAAATGGAAGAGCTTTCCTACTCCATCAGGAAGACAATCCAAAGGGGCATTTTCAAAATCAAGTATCTTTAAGAGCTTGAAATCAGCAACATATGTAGTCACTAAAGTCTCGGGCAATTTGTCTACATTGAAAAGACAAATGGAGCGGATTTTTGAATTTTTTACGCTCTCTAAAACACCATTAGCACATCTGTCAATTGAAATACGCCGAGTTTTACTAATGTGACTCAGGCCTTTTTCGTTAAAGAAATGACAAAAATCACATTCCTTCATCTTTCTGCGAATGATCTCGTACATCAGATCATGAACTCTACTACTTTTAGCTTGTCCAGAAGCTTTTCTCTTTGAAACTTGAACCAAGTTTCTATCAATAAGTTCTTTCATGTATTCTTGTGCAACATACTCAGATGGAAGGTCGTTGTTGCATTGGACAAAGCCTTCAGCTATCCAAAGGCGAATTAATCTCCCAAATCTAATTTCGTAGCCTTCTGGAAACACACCAAAGTATAAAAGACATGACTTGAGATGGTGAGGAAGATCATAATAACCTTCAGACAAAACTCTCTTGCAATCACTAAGATGGGAATCATTGCTTAATTTTGAGCCCAAGCTACCTAGTATATTTTCCCATTCAGAAACAATCTTGTTTTTTCTAGAGAGAAGCCCACCTATCGCAGCAATTGCTAGAGGTAGACCTCCACATTTTCCAACAATACGTTCCGATAATTTCGTCAAGTTTGGAGGACAACAACCGTCAGAGCCAAATGCCTTTCTGCAGAAAAGTTCCCATCCCTGCTCTGAAGACAAGGGTTCAAGCATGTGAACATGAACTATTGACAACGGTACGAATTCAGTAACTGCGTTATTCCGTGTCGTTAGCATTACTCTACTATTTTTTTGGTTATCAAGTAGAGCATGCTCTACATCTCTCCAAAATTCAATTTTCCACACGTCATCAAACACGATCATGTAACACTTGTCCGCTAAGTGTTCCCTCAACATCATGATCAAATCCTTCTCTTCCATTTTATCTGCCTCCGTTAGAGTGGACCCTGTTGAACGGTAAAGTTCTTGTAAAATTTTCCTTAGTAAATCTTTCTTCAAGTATTCTTTCCCAACTGTGATCCAAGCCTGGCAATCAAAATACTTCTTCGTTGTACCATTCGTATAAATTTTCCCAGCAAGAGTCGTCTTGCCAAGTCCTCCTTCGCCCACAACTACAACGACTGAACGGTTGGATATTCCACTTACCAACAAACCAATCAATTGGTCTCTAGTAGATTCGATGCCCACAAGTTCAGCGTCTTCGATGAAAAAGGCACCAACTCGAGAGTCATGCGGTACAATATCTCCTTGATCTATGTGCCTCAAGTTATAGTGTTCTGCTCTTCTATGTATGTCAGCAAGTGATGATTTGATATGTTTAATCTCATATGAAATTCCATGACGCACCTTAAGTTCATTCATGAAGCAACGCATTTTATGAAGGAAACCAGAGAGACCTTTGCCATCATGAACATGATGCTTTGCCTCATTAAGTATGTACTCATCTATGACGTCTTCAATGTGATGAGCTTCGTCCCTGACTTGTTTTACCCAAGTACTTACGACACCTCCACTGCTTTCTCCTTCTTCTTCGGCTGCTGCCCTTGCATCTGCATCCCTGAGGAAAGATCTGATGAACTCCAATTCTCTTTTGATGCTTTCAACTTCTTTCTTTACACTTCTCAACAACTTGGTTTCTTGGACAAGCAAAGAAGCCAAGGTTTCTATAGCAAAGTTCACTGGAAATTCTGCCATTTCTCATAAGCTTTTTCTTTTCACTCCATCTTAGTTCTTAAGAGTTCAGATGTATCATCATGTATACAATTTTCGATTGTTGTGTTAAGAAACCGGTGAGTTGGACAGAAGTGTGAACACAGATGCTTTTGTTGACTAGTAAAACTTTTGGGAGTCCAGGATAAGAATTGAATGATGATAGAGAGACCGTAAAACAGCCGGACTTATTAATTTTGTCTCTCCACATAATTAATAATTAATAAGCTTTTAGAAGATGATGTTATGTATGGTTTTAACCAAATATAATTCTAAAAAGACAGAGTCCACATGTATGGCTACACTTTTAGATTGAGGTCAAGTTAACATTTGACCATGATCCAAGGGTCTATGTTAATTTGATGTCTGTGTAGTCAACATATGACCATTATAAGGGTTCGTGTCAAAATTTTCGAGGAAAAGCTGGAGGGGCACAGGGACACTATAATTCATTTTCTAAAGAAAACAGAGGAAAACAGGGACATTGACGTAAATGCAAGAGAGAGATCCAATCAATTTGTAAACGGAACAAATGGAAACACTATTGTTTTTAGGTTGGCTAAACGTAAAATTTAACATAAAACAGTTTGTATTTTTTTTGTTATATATAATTTTGTCCTTAATTATTTACCCCAGATATGCTGTTTGGGTTTTCAGTTTTAGTTTATCTCCCATACAACTATTCACAATAGTTTAATTAGCTTGAAAACTATTTTATGTACATACAGTTTGATAGAAAAAAAGTAACTAATTCCAGAGAAACAAGGTGAAACAGGGGACTTGTTTTTAATTGGCAGAAGATGCTGTAATTAATTAATTTGGTTAAGGTTATGTATGGTTTTAAACCTATATTACTTTGAAAAAGTTGTATCTACCAAATGTTAAAGGAAAATATGGATAAAAATATATTGAAAACTGAAATGGATTGAATTAATTGATGTGATATAAACTTAATAAAATATAACATGATATCAAATAATATAATATATTTCAATTAACATAACAACAAAATTATTAGTCTAATATACATAAAGGAAAATACTACACTTATTGGTTCTGTATACCAACTTTTCATCTTGACTGACGTGGAGTGTGACATGGGGAGTTTCTAACCCGACCATGTCATATTTCACATCAGTCAGTATGTAGAATCAGTATCCTCTACATGAAATATATATATATATATATATATATATATATATAATATATTACATTTCGATGTTGGTAACATTGTTGTTGTGCATGCCCAAGCACACTCAAAATACTTCTGGACTGAGAAGCAGATTAGTTTATCAAATTTGTAAGTTAGTTGCCGGCAGCTATGAGTCGAAGGTTATTTGTTAGCGAAATATAATCTCGTTAGTTTACTTAAACTCAACAGTGCCATTTATTTGAGTTTAAAAGACATACTTTGAAGATTGAACACACAGAGATCATCATAAACGTATATATTAAATGAAGGAAGAATTATCTACACTCCAACTGTAGTATACACTATACTTTGGC